TATCCTCGGGTGAGGAATAACAACAACAAAAGATGGAAAAGAAATGGATTCATATTTGATTCGTAAAAATCAGTAGGATTTGGTGACTGAATGTTGTGGGGTTGATTAGGGTGGTGAGCGAGAGAGTCAAGGGTAGCTCCTAATTTTATTTTATTTTTTTAAAATCTTTATTGTTGAAAGTATTACAAATGTCCCTTTTTCCCTCCCATTGGCTTCTTCCAGCCCTCCCCATCCCACATCCAGGCCTTCACCTACCTATGGGAAGATGGCGGTATAAGGAATGTGGGAGGAAGAGTAACGTGGGACAGATGCTGAGTAGGCTGAGTTTGGATGCCTATGACTTTCCCCATGGAGGTGTCTTGAAGATAACTGGATATATAGGTCTGAAGCCAAGAGAACGATCCAGGCTGGACGTATGGTCCTGTGACCATGGGTAAAACCATGAGAATCGATAAGCTTACTCAGGAGGGCGTGGGCTTAATGGTATTACGCATTCCTCCCTCATATTCCCATCCAGATTTAAGTTTTCCAAATTCTTTGTCTTCTTTTTCATAATATTATCCATTGATATCCCCTAGGTTAAAAACCATATAAGAAATACTGTAGCCCTAGCTGGTTGGCTCAGTGAATAAAGTGTCAGCCTGCGGACTGAGAGGTCCCAGATTCGATTCTGGCCAAGGGCACATGCCAGGGCTGTGGGCTGGATCCCCAGTAAGGGGCATGCGGGAGGCACCCGATCAATGCTTCTTTCTTGTCATCGATGTTTCTCTCTCCTATCCCTCTCCCTTCCTCTCTAAAATCAATAAAAAATATTTTTTAAAAAGAAATATTGTTTACTGGTTTACCATTACATTTATGATGACAAATTTCAAATGGATATTTAGCACAGCCAGATATACTTTATAAAATTCCATTCTCATATATCATGTTCTTCTCCTTGAGCCTCACACTTAGCCTTTCACTCTCAGTTGAACCTTACATCATCATTCTTCACTATTAAAAAATAAATTTAAAAAAGGCAATTTGACTGATTACCTCATCTTCATACCATCAAGTCTACCAGGTTCTCTGAATCAGCTGTCTTCCTTCTCGTTACTGCAGAAGTATACCCATTCTAATCTACAGCCAGCCCCATAACCCATGCTCTAGATTTCATTCTTTCTCTCTTCTTCACACATTACCCCCTACACTCTATCATCATCCATTTCGCCTTCACTGCTATGTCAGTCTCCTTTTAATACAAATATGCCTTAATAGCAAAACAAAGCCCACTATAACAAAACAAAACTTCAGTGCCAGAGGTTGCTAATGCTCATAGATACATTTTCTTCTCTTCTTTCTGGGCACACAGCTAAATTACATTTCTCAAATTATATTTCTCAGCCCCCTTGTGAAGACCACATGGAAAGTAGATTTCTACCAGAAATAATGTATTCCACTTTCAGGCTTGGCCCATAAAAATCTCCCACTCATGCCCTGGTTAGGTAGCTCAGCTGATTGGAGCATCATCCAGTACACCAAAAAGGTTGTGGTTTAATCTCCTCAGGGCAACGGATTAATGTTTCTCTCACATATCTATGTTCCTTTCTCTCTCTCTCTCTCTCTCTCTCTCTCTCTCTCTCTCTCTCAAAATAAAAACATATCTTCAGGTGAGGTTTGAAAAAAATAAATGTCCCATTCCTGATTCTCTACGTTCTTTTTTCTTAGGTGACTTTGACGGCTACATGTTGGTGCTATGAGATTGAAGATGCCTGGGTCCCTGGGTTAGTCCTGGAAGAACGCCACTCAACTCACATTGACTCGAATGACAAATAAACTCTAATTATGTTAACATGTTGAGACTGCAGTTGTCAGTGATAGCCTTGGCCTAGTATCACTCCACATCCCCCTCCAGCTATTGCTCCATTTCTGTTTCCTTTAACACTCTGAATAGTTGTCTACACTCATGGTTTCCATCATTCTCTTCTCAATCTCCTTCAATTCAACTTGCATCCCCACCATTCCACTGATATGACTCTTATGGAGATTATTAGTGATCTTCATCTTGCCAGATCCAAGGTCATTTCTTTAGTCTCATCTTTTTCCATTTCTCAGCATCATTTAACACAGCTGACCACTTCCATTCTTTTTGAAACATTCTCTGGGACACCACAGTCTATTGGTTTTCCTCCTGCTTCACTGGCCGCTCCTTCTGCTCTAACAATCCCCTAAGATTTGATGGATCCTAGAGCTCTTCTTAAATTTTTTCCTCTGTCTGCACTTTCTTTAGGTGAGATGCTGCTGACTCCCAAATCTGTATTCCTAGCCCTGTCCTCTCCCATTAGCTTTAGTTCTGCATACTCAACTGTCTATTGGGGTCTCTAACAGGCATCTGTAATATAATATCTGATTTTCCCTCTCAAATTCTTCATCTTTTTCTTCCTTTTTCACCTGGTTGTGCAGACCAAAAATATGGGAATTTCCAATTCCTTTTTTCCTTTCTCACATCCAATCCATTACCTACCCTGTTTTCCCGAAAATAAGACAGTGTCTTGTATTAATTTTTTTCTCCCAAAGTTGCGCTAGGTCTTATTTTCAAGGGATGTCTTATCTTTCCATGCGCTAGGTCTTATTTTCGGAGAATGTCTTATTTTCGGGGAAATATGGTAGTACTTCTCTGCTACCACAGTATCTTATTAAATCTGACTTCTTTTCACCATCTTCTCAGAATAGTCATCGAAACACCACTTTTACTTGTCCAACATAAATAAATACTACTCCAACATTTCTTAACTGCTTTGCCTTCACCCGTGCCTGTAGTATGCTAACAATTTAACACATCAATCATAGAGAACATCTCAAAATATAATCACAAGTCAACCACACGCTTAAAAACTCTCAATAGCTTTCTGTGTAAAACTGGAATAAACTCCATCCTCCTGCCAAGTGAGATTTCTTCTTTGTCTTTACAATCTCTTTAGTGTATTACAATATGGGTTAATGCTTATCAATGGTTTCCTTCTTTTGTACTTTTCTACATTTTGTGGAAATAATATTTTGGGGTTGGTAGGAGATTCCCCCCACCCCCACTCCCCAATACCGCCCCCCCCCCTTTAGTTGGGTCCTCCAGTTACCGCACTTGCCGGGCAGGTTGATGTTCCCCATTCCCCCTCCTCATTTTAGACGGGGAGGACAGTGGGAAGAACGCGGAGCTTTGGAATCAGACAACCCATTGTTGAAACTGTCCGTTTCTTTTTATCAACATCCTGAAGTAGGAACTTAATTTCTCTGAACCCCGATTACCTCCTCTACAATTTGTTACAAATGAAATAAACGAGCTGACACACAGGTTCTTAGCACACGAAGGAAACAACCTTATACTAGATTCCTTCAGCACAACGATTTTCAACCTGTGTGCCCCAATGATTTTTTAAACATGCAATACTTCACTGTTTAATCAGGGTCGCTGACATATTTCTCCATTTTAAAAATGCCAACATCCAACACAACAATAGCCATCTAATGTTAATGAATCAGTCACACCTATTTTTTTTTTTGTAAGATGGGCAAAAATACACTTTTTGGTGTGCCGCAGAATTTTAGTCATTAGTTTATGTGTCATAAAATGAAAAATATTGAAAAATCACTGCTTTTAATACACTGTTTCCATTCACCCTTTCCTCCTGGTTATGTCTGTCAAATCCCAGGACAGTGTCGACGTCACTGAAGTTGAGCACACTGCGTACTCAGTGTGATGAACCTTCAGCGTTTAAGAACCCAAGGGTTTTTCTAGTATCACATGAGCTCATTCATCTAGGGGAAATGATGAACAGCATAGACTGATGAACAAGAACAGACCCAGAGACAGGGAAGCATCAATTAGACTGTCAGACCTCAGAGGGAAGGTATGGGAGGGTGGGGGGAAGGGGAGAGATCAACCAAAGGACTTGTGTGCGTGCCTATGAGCCTAACCAGCGGTCACGGACAACGCGGGTGGGTGGGGGGAGCATGCGTGGAGAGGGGTTTGGGATGGGTATGGGGTGGGGAGGGGGATGAGGCCAAATATGATACCTTAATCAATAAAGGAATTTTAAATTTAATTTAAAAAAAGCTTTACTAGGTAAAGTACGTCAAGTTAAGCGAGCCTTCGCACTTCAGCTATAAAGAGGGAACATCAGACGGCTGGCGGAGGTCCGCAAAGCCCCTACGTGAATTACCAGTGCCTACGGACCAACAGCCGCTCCCGCACTTCCCCTCCGGGCGCACAGCGCCGCCCGCAGGCGCGGGGGCGGAGATTTGCATGTGCGAAATCGGGAAGAGGGGGGGAACCACCCGGAGAAAACCCCGGGCCGGTTCCGCCCGCCCGGGGCGGGAGGCCGGCCTCACCCGGCTGCGCGCCCCGCCCCCCGGGCCCCGGGCGGCCGGCCCTCCCCGCGTCACCGCGCCGCCCACTCGCCCTGCGCTGCAAACCGCGCTCTTCACAGCCGCCGGGGGAGGGGGATTTCTCCGGGGCCGGCGCCGGCGCACGCCCGGGACCGCCCCTCCCGGCTCCAGGGCTCCCTGCGCTCCCGGAGACCCCGCGGGCGCACCTGCTCCCCGCAGCGCCCGACCCGGGTCCGAGCCCCCTCCCTCCCCGGGGGAAGCAGGGGCGGGGCGGGCCGGGAGTGCGGGGCGCGCGCCCGCGGCGCGGTGGCCGGCTCCCCGCCCCCGGGAGGCGGCGGCCGGCGCGACGTCAGCGGCGGGAAATCCCCGCGGCGGCGCGGCTCTCCCGGCGGCGGCGCGCGGCCGCGGCGCTTCGCCCCCTGCCTGCTGCTCCCGGACGGCGACGCGGGGCGGGCGGGCCGCAGCGCGAGAATTCAGGGGGTGGGAGGTGTGAGCCGCAGGCCGGCGGGGGGCGGGCCGAGGAAGACGCCCCGGGGGTGGCCTGGGGGACGCGGGGTCCCGCCGGCAGAGCGCGGAGAAGCGGCGGGCGGGCGGACGGCGGCTGCCTTCGGTCCGGACGCGCGGCGCGGAGCGGAGCCATGGCCTCGGGTGAGTGCGCGGCGCGGCCGCCGGGCCGGGGGCGCAGAGGAGCGGGTCCCGGCCGCGGGGTGCGGGGGGGGGTCTGGGGGGGTCTTGCTGCTCAGTTCGGGGTCTCCGTTTTGATGGTGGAGCCTCTCACTTTCAGCTCGCCTAATCTGGCAGGTTGTCTTGTAAAAAAAAAAATGGTCCAGGGTTTGCGTGCGAAATCAAAGCCGGGCCTGTAATTCGATGCCGTTGCCATCGCCGGAACCTTAGAAGTTCCCAGCGGCTTGGCTTTAGAAGTTAGGAGAGTAATCCTCCGAATAAAAGCAGACGGAGAGTCCTCGTACTGAAAAAAAAAATTTTTTATTTTGATTTTGAAATGGGGGTTTTTATGTTTCAGACTAGAAATGAGGAACCTCAGACCTCAGGAGAGCTTTGCGAGCTGTGTGAGTGTGTGTGTGTGTGTGTGTGTGTGTGTGATTGTGTGTGTGAGTGTGTGTGTATGGTTGTGTGATTGTGTATGTGTGTGAGTGTATGATTGTGTGTGAGTGTATGGTTGTGTGTATGATTGTGTATGTGTGTGAGTGTATGATTGTGTATGGGTGTGTGTGTATGGGGGTGTGTGTGTATGATTGTATGTGTGTGCATGATTGTGTGTGTGTGAGTGTATGATTGTGTGTGTATGGGGGTGTGTGTGTATATGGGTGTGTGTGTATGGGTGTGTGTGCATGATTGTGTGTGTGTGAGTGTATGATTGTGTGTGTGGGTGTGTGTGTGTATGGGTGTGTGTGTATGATTGTGTGTGTTTGAGTGTATGATTGTGTGTGAGTGTATGATTTGTGTGAGTGTATGATTGTGTGTATGATTGTGTGTGAGTGTATGATTGTGTATGGGGGTGTGTGTATGATTGTGTGTGTGTGAGTGTATGATTGTGTGTGTATGGGTGTGTGTGTGTATGGGTGTGTGTGTGTGTGTGAGTGTATGATTGTGTGTGTATGGGGGTGTGTGTATGTATGTATGGGTGTGTGTGTATGTATGTATGGGTGTGTGTGTATGTATGTATGGGTGTGTGTGTGTGTGTGTGTGTGTTTCCTTTAATCCCATCCAGTTCTCGGGTGACCTAAGGGGTGCTGCCGCTGAGCTCACAGCTGTGCACAATGTGCGCCTTTCGGAGTCGGCAGTGGCGCTGGAACCCGGCTGCCCGTGGACATGTTGCCTCGACAAAGTGGGCAGTTTTTAACAGTACCTTCTAGTTTACACGGAGTTTTATTTTGTTGGTTCGTTCCTTGTTTGGAAAGGAGGGAAAAGAGGCTTTTAGGATACCCACGTCTTACAGCAGGGGAGGGATGAGACACTTGGTATGACTGTACCTGCTCGCTTTGGGGGAGAGGGCGGCGGAGCGGGCCCGGGAGGGGGCCTGTGTTTGTAGCCGCGGCCCAGGCCGCTGTCAGCGAAGGGGAAGTGACCCGAGTCGCCTGCGTTCGCGTGGGGCCTTTCCGGGGTCCTGGGGAGGTGCCCGGGCTCCCTCCCGGCCGCGGGGCCGCCGGCGCGAGCAGCGGCGGGAGAGCCCGGTGGGCGCGTCCCTGCGGCTGGAGGGGCTGGATGCCCGGCCCGCATCCTCCCCCGCCCCGGAGCCGTCACCCCGGCGGGACACGGGGGTGTCTGGCAGAGAAGAGGAAGTGGAAAGCTTAGAGGACTTTTTCTTTTTTTTAGCAGAAGCCTGTCATAGCTGCTGCTTTAGGCTGGAAAGGAAATTGAGAGGTGGTTCACATGACACTTGATTTCAGTTTGTGTGTGTGGTTTTTCAAATGGGGTTTAAAATGTTTCAACTTTCTCTTTACCCACTTCACTGACCCTCAGGCTCTCAGATAGTCCTGTGAGCGGATACATCCCAAGTGTGTGTGTAGATAAAAAGTGCCAAGGTGACTTGAAATATTAGCTGAATTTACTGATGATGGGTGCTTGTATGAAAGTAGTAGAGGACGGCTAGCATTATAAATTTAGCCAAAAAAGGGCAGCCTGCTGGCAGTGGAACCAAACTTTATTAATATATGGCACGAATGCAATACTGCTGATTCCTTCAAAAGAGAGAAAAATAATGAACCACATAGCGAAAGAGTATTGTAAAACCCACATAATTTAAAAATGTGATACAGTTTAAACTTGTTTAAATTATTATTATTAAATTGTTTTAATATTTTGTGCTGTTATGAGGACTGATTCCCTAAATTGAAGGGGACATTTTTTTAAGGAGTGGAAAGTTGTAGAAAGTTGTAAATCACAAGATGTTTAAATTATAATTCAGTTGTTTGAAAATTGCTAAGCAAATTTTTAAAAAGGAGTTTGAGTGTACTTAAGCAGTTGTAAACACTTTAGAGAGTTACTAAATTATAAATTCTCATCCTGTTTCGAAACAGTAATTTAAGCTAATCACACACAAAAAAGTTGTGCTAAATTAGTTTATCGTTGTCTAGTTTAGATTCTGCTTGTAGAAAGATAGTATTAAAACCTCAAAAGGTATTTTTATTGATTACCAAGCCTTAACCATTTCTTCTTTCTTCCCGGATGTCATATGTAAATAGGTATGTGTAGTTGAATCTGTGTCCTGTTTAACGTAAAAAGTAGCATCATAATCTCATAAGCAAATTCTGTAAGTACCATGAGTAACTGGGCTTTGATATACGTATATTTTATATAAATTCTAAATTTTGTTCAGGTAAATTATCATATTATATAGAACTTCAGTTTGTGTCCTATTAAATTGTCTTTTTAAATTATACCTTGATTCCAGTCTTTTTACATGATGAATTAGAGTAGGCATTGTGAGAAAAAAAAATGCTCCCATACCCATTAGGCCATCATTACTCTTGTATATTTAAATAAAAATAGCTATTTTGGGTCTGAATTTAAAGTTTCCCATTGTTCCATTGAAAAGTGTAAAATGTTCTTGTGTATACATAGCAGCTCTGTTTACTAATAAATAGTACTAATATTAATACTCTGTTTACTAATAAATAGTACTCTGTTTACTAATAAATAGTACTGTCTTTGGTAAAATGTTTTAAAATTAAATAATTTAGATAATTTATTTTTATTATCAGTTTTCTTTAATATATAGTAAATTTCAAGAGAACTATTTCTCTTGAGTAAGGGAGGGGATGTAAATATGTGGTGCAATTTAAAATTTTAATGTTAGAGCTGCAAGCTGGACTTGATAGCTAAAGCAAGTGACTTAAAAAAAAAGACTGCATAGAAATATGAAGGCTGTTTCAGAAATGTAACACATGAAAATATAGAGATAACAGTGATCTAAAAGAATGAAGGTGATATATGGTAGGGAATGAGTGAATGAAATGACTAGTGAGGAATCAGATCATGAATCATTTTGGGAACACGTGGAGTGTGTGTATTGTAGTATCTCAAATACGGTTTAAGGGACTCAGCATTCCTTTTATTCTGTCTTTTTCTCATCTGTTCTCTGCAAATGATTGGGGTTGTAGGTACACAACCTAAGTAACTGAATGAAATATACTTTTTTTTTTTTTAGACCAAAGGGAATTATTGTAAGCAAGATATAATGTACAGCAAAAGGAATATTGAAAAAATTGTAAATCCCAAGGATTTTTTATTTATTAAAAGAAAGCTCTTTATTTTCCAAGGGTCCAAGTTTGGGTGTCAGAAGTTTAAACACAATAGAGAGAAAAATATTAAATGGGAATGATTAGGGATATTTTTCATTATCTTTTTAAAACAATTTACTTTTGTTTTACCACTGTATATATCATTCACATAACTCCCCCCCCCAAAAAAAAAAAAAACACAAAAAAACATCTCCTATAAATTAGCAGGACAATGTTTTTCCATTTTTGAAAAATGATTGTTAACATTGTGTGGGATATACTTATACAAAAAGATATATTTTAAATTCATATTTAAATGAGCATCCTGTAATTTGTACTTTTAAATCTGGTGATCTTAGTCCAGACAGCTGGCCATATATTCTTCATTTAGTTAAATACCTGAAAGACCTAGGACAGATTTTAAATATTTCTCTATTTTTTCACCCTGGAAGTTATTTTTTTTTTTAATCCTTATTTTTTTATCCCCATGACAATGAAATCTCTAGCAGTAGACTCTCTGTTGTCAAAACCTTTTATTTACCTTGTAATGCATACATCAGTCAAATACTCATCTAAACATTCCCTTGCGTAGGTTATTAAGACCCAAATGAGAATCAGCCTGGTGTGTTGAAGTAAACCTGGACTTTAGCCTCTGATGAACCTGAATGGGTTTGCGTTTCTACCACTCTGTGATATAGAAATGGGAACAATTACTGCTGAGTCTTGTGAGGAACAAATGTGATCATGAATGCCCATGATCACATTTTTTTTGTAGTGGAGCTGTTTAGGGATTCACAACTGTAGGAAACAGAGATTACTAGAGGCCCTTGGCACTTACTATTTAAGCATCTGATGATTCTAGAATGTTGTGAAACCATAGAATCAATATTCATAGACTACATTAGATGCTAGACAGATAATATATCTAATATCCTATATAATAAAAGGCTAATATGCAAATTGTCCCCACAGGAGCTCAACCAACTGGGAGTTCGGCCACACTATGACGTGCATTGACCACCAGGGGGTGGCACAGGATGAAGGCAGGCCCCTGCTGGCAGCAGGCATGGGGGTGAGGGGGAAGGCCCTGGCCAGCAGCCAGAAGTCCCCAATGGGCCCTGTTCGCCGGCCAGGCCTTGAGACCCTACTGTGTACTGAGTTTTGTGCACTGGGCCTCTAGTTAATATATAAGAAAGGATTGCCCATTTGCTTTTAAAATATTTGCAATGGTTTTGTGTATATTTAAACTAGGGGAATAGAATTTGACAGTGATGTTTGGACTCAGTGTATTTTTTTTTTCCTTTGTCCACTTAAATGATAGTAAAGCATTCTTGGGGGAGGGGGATAAATTAAAATTATTTAGTAGATAATGTCCTTTTGCCAAGTTGATTGATATAGCTTATCCTCTATTTTATTTCTTTTGCACCTTCCATGTTAGTCTTTTTCCTTCCTTATGGGAATAGGCTTTGCCCCTTTGTTAATTGCATGCAATTCTAGCTGTTAAAGAAGTGGTAACTCTAATTTTGATAATAACAAGGAAGAAACAGAAAAAGTCACCCGCATTCTAGGGTCAAGAAGATCATCACCATGATTCAGTTGGGTTCCTAGGTTTAAGGAATGAAGAATAGTTATTATTTTCTTTTTCTTCAAAGTGAGTAGAAGTGATATTTGGAAAAGTACATATTGTTAGCTCCATTTGCTCCTTTGGGTCTCTGTTATCCAGTACCCCTGTGAGGGAGATGCAGGCTGTAGTTATTATTCTCAGCTGTGGTGTTGACACATTGGCATATTATAATAACTTGTGTGCTGTATTTAAGAAATGTTTTTGGTGATAGTTAAAATATTGGTTTTGCAAATGATTTGCTTTTTTAACTAGATCGGAGTGATTGAAGGCTATCCTTACAGTAATGTTTCCTTCCCTCTGCTTGCATTTGGATAAGCTTTTTAGAGTGTGAGGGAGGGAAAGAGGAGTTACAAGCAGTCAGAATTCTTCTGCCTACTAGTTGATCTATCACCCAGCCTATACTTGTGTGTGAATTTTTGGATTACTTCTCCAGATAGGTGCATCATTGTTTCCACTTCCTTATGTTCCAGGGCAATGGTTCTTAACCAGGAATGTGTTAGAATTGCTTGGGAGGCTTTTTCAGGGACATGTCTGGGCTTTAGATGGAGCTGTGTTTCTGCTCAGCAGACCTCAGGTGGGGCCAGGGAATGTGTATGTTTTGAAAGCTGCCTAGGTGATTCTGATACACAACCCCAGGATGAACTCTGTTCCAGAAGAATCATTGGATCTAAATATGCACCTGCCTGTAGCAAAATGCCTATCTTCTTAACCTGAATTGCATTTAGTTGAGGTTATTTGCTGTATCCATTATTGTGAATTTATCTTCAGCTGTTTTTATGCTTATTGTTGGTGTCTCAGCTGTCATATTTGCTAATGTCATTCATAATTTCATATAATTTTGAGCTTTAGTTTTATCTATAAAATGGGATGATAATTTCTATTCTGTTTTATGAAGAATAAAGTTAAAATCGTTTGAGAAATGGTAAAAGACAGTATTATAATTACTAAAATTAAGTTTTTTCACTGTATAATTAATGCTGGTTCCCAATTCTAGCTGTATAGTTTTAGTTTATAATGTGTCTTTCTGACAGTTGATCCATTTTTAACTTTTATTTAAGTGTAATTTTTTTTTTATCTTACAAACTCATACTTTGTTAAGTACTGTGTTTTAAAATAGAACTTTTTGCATATGTGCAGGTAAAACCATAAATGAATCTTGCAAATATTTTGGCTATATTTCAAATGTTATTCTGATCTGTATTGGCTTTTTATAATATTTCTCAAAATATAGAGGTCAATCCCAGTTTATTAATTAAAGAAAATTACAGTAATCAATTTGTTTGGAATAATTTAAAGACTTTTCAGTGCTTTTCAAAACTTTAGTGATTTGAGATAATATTATGAGTGAGTACTAATTTTCCTTGCAACTTCCTGATTTATATTCAAAACAGGGAATTGAGGAAGGAAGGGGTACTGACACATGATATAAATGACTTATAACTAGAAGTTTTTTAAAAACATGAATACATATAAAGAAATTGGAATATAAATGGATGTGAGGAGTATGAAGATGTAGACATTCTAGTACATACAAAACACTATTTTTTTCCATGGTAGGTGGAGTCTATTGAAGAAATTCTGATTAATTATGAATGAATAACTTACACAATCAAAAAGATCTTCATATTTATTCATTCATTCATTCAACAGATATTTACTGAATATCTGTGTGCAAGACACCAATGAGTAAGACACAATTCCTGCCTTCAAGTAGCTTAAAGAAATAAAACAAGTAGCTTTCTTTCAAGTAGAAATAGTAAGTCTTCCCTGAATTATAGTTATTTGGAATAATTGCCATAAACAAAATATGGTAGTTTAGAGTAGGGGAAGATTATTTCCAACTCGAGGAATGTAGAATATTACAATAAACTCTGGTTGTTGGTAAGACTTTTTACCAATAAAGAGCTTCTACAGTAGGAAGAACAGAGTTCAAGGGTTTTTTTTTAAGTACTAGATGTTATATAACTAATATGTCACTTTTATAATTTAAAAAATCTTTTAAACATGTTTTATTTAATTTTTAACAACTGCTTTTCTGTTCTCTTATGTATAGACTTCTTCATAAACACTTTCTAGTTTAAGGAAGTGTTGTGAGACCAATGAAACCATTTGAATGCTCATTTGGAGCTTAGCATTTTTGTTCACACCCCTCCCCCAATAGTTAGCCACTTCCCTTAATGATGTCATTCAGTATCAACTTCCCACTAGACAACCTTTAAAGAAGTAGTGGGCAGGGATTTATTTGACCTTTAGTTCAACCACATAAATGATTTAAGATATCACTTTAAAAATTTTTTTTAATTTTTTAAGTTGAGTATTTTGAGTTATTGTAAGGAAAATGTATTTCACTTTAAATATTCCTACAAGGATATATAAGCCTGTGAGATATTTGAAAACGAAATGTGAATTTGAATTACTTGAAATATACAAAAAATATATAAGGATATGAAATTATGATATATCTGCATGCTTACATTTTTTTTCAGTAAAATTGAAATAAATATTATGAACTTGACTAAGTTAAATTCTTTTTTTTTTTTTTTCTGGCTCTTTGTCTTTTGAATAAATAAATAGGTAGTAGAGGCAAACACAAGAAGCCTGATCCCAACAGAATAAAATTAAAGGTGACAGTAATACTCTACTCAGTAACCTAACATAGAAACTATAAAGTCATCAGTGATTCCTTTTCTTTCTCTTTTTTTTTTATATATTAATTTTTATTGATTTCAGAGAGGGAGGGAGAGGGGGAGAGAGATAGAAAGCCGATGAGAATCATCGATTGGCTGCCTCCTGCATGCCCCCTACTGGAGATTGAGTCCACTACCCAGGCATGTGTACTTGACCTGAATCTAACCTAGCCAGCGACCCTTCAATCCTCAGGCCGACGCTCCATCTGCGGAGCCAACCCAGCTAGGACAAGGATTCTTTTTCTTAACCCTAATGTTCAGTCAGTTACCAAGTAGTCACTTTTATCTTTTAAATAACCCTTCTTTTCTATTATTTCTACCATATTTCAGACATACTCTCATCATCACTCATATATGGTAACAGCCTCTAAAACTGATCTCTTTGCTTTCTCTTTTCAATCTGTTTATTGCCACCAGAATTCTTATTTGAAAATTCTGATCTGATCATGTGATTTCCCTGCATAAGACCATTCCACTGATTGACACTCAGATTGTACTCTGGCTTTTGGTTCGCTTTCTAAGGTGGTGGAAAAGCACCCCATGCCCATCAGGGCTATTTTGGTGATCCTTGAAATCTTCTCTTCCATTGAGGCTATACCTTCTATACTGGTCCACCTTTGGACAACCTGTTTCCTTTTCTTAGATTGCCTACCTGACCCCTTCTCCCTCCCTCTCCACCTTTGTGCTTCATCAACTCCTATTTTCCTTTGTGTTGTTTGCCTCACTGTTCTGTAAAATCCTTGAAAGTAGCAGTTGTGATACCATCATGGTATGACTATAAATTGTTTTTAAGAAAGCATCTGAGCCCTAGCCGGCTTGGCTCAGTGGATTGAGCATCGGCCTGTGGACTGAAAGGTCCCAGGTTCAATTCCGGTCAAGGGCATTTGCCTGGGTTGCAGGCTCGATCCCCAGTAGGGGGCATGCAGGAGGCAGCCGATCAATGATTCTCTCTCATCATTGGTGTTTCTCTCTCTCTCTCTCTCTCTCTCTCTCTCTCTCTCTCTCTCTCTCTCTCTCCCCCGCCCCCTCCTTTCCTCTCTGAAATATATATATATATATATATATATATATATATATATATATATATATAGCACCTGAAATTATCGACACTATTACTAGTACTTGTTATATTTGAGGCACTTGGTAAGAACTTAACACTTTGTGTCTAATCCTCACAACAACCCACTGAGGCTGAACTGTTGTAATTAGCTCCAGTTTATGCAGTGGGAGATTTAAGAAAATTAATAACATTTACAAGGTTGTCATTGTTAAGATTTAGCTGGGTAGGATTCTTTTCCTTCGTGGTATCTTATACTTTAGATGAGGCTGATTGAAGATTATGTTCAGCCTGAAGCTCCTTCTGGAACTTGTTTTGATAGACTCTGTAAAAAGTCCATTGACTGCAAGCATTTTAGATGCATTTACACTTCCAGTGAGTAGTTTGTTAGATCACTGTTAAGAATCTGAGGTAAAAATCAAGCTGTTAAACTCACTTTTGGAATATAACATTGTACTTCTGGAGATTTTCTTCTTGACTCTTCTGGGGAGACCTTGGGAGAAAGAAACCCTTCTGCTTGGTCTCATGTGAGAAGTGGGTATCCCCAAAGTGGCTATCTCAGAACTTCACATTGGTCTTAGCTCTACATATTAAGCGATAAAGTGCTAACCAATCAATATGATTTGAATGACGTGTGTTAACTCTATTTAGAGCTCAATTTGAGTGGGAGAGAAAGGTGTCTTTGCCACCCAATCTTAAATAATTACATTGTAACCTTGTTATAATTTGGGAGGGAAAATATTGTAGTCTGCTGTTTAAAAAAAAAAATGAAATGGTTAATAGTCATTATTATTGCTATTTGAATCTTACGCTCCTCCCTCCTTTTTTTTTTTTTTTTTTTTTAAATTTCAGGTGGGTATAACCCATATATACAGATCATTGAACAACCCCGGCAGCGGGGAATGCGTTTTCGATACAAATGTGAAGGGCGATCAGCAGGCAGCATCCCAGGGGAGCACAGCACAGACAACAACCGAACATACCCGTCTATCCAGGTAACAGACCATTCTCCTGTGTTGGTGTCTCTTCGTTGCTTCATATTTAGCTACAGCAATTGCATTAAAGGCCCAGTTTCTTTCTTTCTTTCTTCCTTCCTTCCTTCCTTCCTTCCTTCCTTCCTTCCTTCCTTCCTTCCTTCCTTCCTTCCTTCCTTCCTTCCTTCCTTCCTTTCTTTCTTTCTTTCTTTCTTTCTTTCTTTTTAATAAAGAATTCTTTTTTTTTCTTTTTAATATATATTTTATTGATTTTTTACAGAGAGGAAGAGAGAGAGATAGAGAGTTAGAAACATCGATGAGAGAGAGTCATCTATCAGCTGTCTCTTGCACACCACCCACTGGGGATATGCCCGCAACCAAGGTACATGCCCTTGACCGGAATCGAACCCGGGACGCTTCAGTCCGCAGGCCGACACTCTTATCCACTGAGCCAAACTGGTTTTGGCAAAGGCCCAGTTTCTTTACAGTCATTTCCATGGGCTTTTCTTTTTCTTTTTAACTAGAGGCCTGGTGCACGAAATTGTGCACACGTAGGGTGCTTAGGTCTGGCCAGCGATCAGGACTGATCTGTGGGGTGACTGGTGAGGCGATTGTTGGCCCCGCCCCCTGCCGCCAGTCGCTTCCCTTTGCTGCCTCCTTCTGTGGAGCCATTGGCCCGGCCCCGGGAACTGTTTCTGCATTGAACATCTGCCCCCTGGTGGTCAGTACCAGTCATCCTGCCATTTATTCATTCTATTTGCATATTAGGCTTTTATTATATAGGATTGATTTGTACTAAATAGCTATCTAGGGTCATTTCTTAGCTATCGAATGGATTCTTCATCCCTGCTGATAGTTACGTTTGTGTGTTCATCTAAGTAGAGTGATTCACAGTGCTTAGTGTACATTGGCAGCTTTGAGGTGATGATTCCTTTCATGAAACATGGAGCTAATGAGGAAAAAGCATTTTCTCCTTTTAGCAGTGAGCAAAATCATTCTGTAGATTAAAGACAGGGATTTGGGAACCCAGTCAGAATTCTTTCTACAATCATTTGGCTAAACTAGGTTCTGTGGGAAAGGAGAATGAACATTTTTGCCTCCTTTTTCCTTGCCTTTATTGCCTACCCCTGATACTCTGGGTTTCATTGACTGATTTGAAATATAGTCATTTTCTAAATAGTTCTTTATGATAGCATAAGTTTTAAAAGTACTTTTTGATCCAAAATGATTTTGATAGTATTCTCTACTTATAAAATATACTATATTTCATTTTATTTTAAATGAGTTTTTAGCCTTTAAATGCCAATTAAAAGTTTGAACAGCAGAGTGGATTTTGAAAAGTGTTAGTCTTTCTTCATCAGATGTTAATTCCCTGTTTCTTAACTACATTATTTACAAATACTATTCTATTAAACTTAAGGGGAAGGCTAAGTTATAGAATAAAGCAATGGCAAAATTATTGAATTCTAAGATCCTAATATTTGTCACTTTTTGGGCAGCAATATGGATTTGAGTTATTTAAATCCTTTTGTTTAAATGTTAAAATGAGAGAAATGCTACTAAAAGGTAGAATTCCTTAATTCAGCTTATTCTATACATTCTTGAAAATATTTCTAAGATCCAGTAGGTTCTGAACCCTTTCACATCTTGAGTTTTACATCAGCCTATATTACAATTGTAAGTAGTTACTGTCTCTTTTATTCAGAAAGTCAATAAATACTGGTTCCTTTTCAAATTAAGTTTAAATTCAGGATTATAGATTTTAGTGTCCTCTTACCTGTAAAGCTACCCATCATTACAGAACTGCTTTGCTCCTTTGTCATAAGCTGGTTTTGATATTCCCTGCTTTGTGTTTGCAAACTTCTTAGTTTCCAAATTAAACATTCTCTTCCTCCCCATGCTCAGAAAATCCTCTTTCCATGTTTAACACTCCTCTTTATTCTCAATGTCAAAAATTCTCAAATTTTACTGTGTGAAAACAATTTTGTGAAACTCAATTTGATTTTTGCAGGCCGGCAGGGGAGGGCAGTTAGGGGCAATCGGGATGGCGGGAGTAGTTAAGCGTCGATCAGGCTGGCAGGGGAGTGGTTAGGGGATGATCAGGCTGGCAGGCAGATGAGTGATTGGGAACCAGCAATCCTGGATCCCAGTGGGATTGGGTCTAAACAGGCAGTTGGAGATCCCTCTAGGGGTCCCAGATTGGAGAGGATGCAGGCTGGGCTGAGGGATACACACCCCCATGCACGAATTTCATGCACCAGGCCTCTGGTTTTGGTATAATTTTACTTATTTTTAAAAGGAAAATAAGCAAAATCAGATGATATGGCCAATTGAAATTAATATGCCAAGGAACTGAGAGGTAAATTCTACCTTATTGGTATTTTTGGCAAGTTTCACGTAAACTGCTGTTGCCAGCCAACTGGATGCATTATTAGCTACATTATATAAATTGAACCCTCATTTAGTAGAATAGTTCCGCATGAGGAATATTTATGGATCATTTATTTCCCTCTTTTTCAGATTATGAACTGTTATGGAAAAGGAAAAGTGAGAATTACATTAGTCACAAAGAATGACCCATTTAAACCTCATCCTCATGATTTAGTAGGAAAAGACTGCAGAGATGGCTACTATGAAGCAGAATTTGGACAAGAACGCAGGCCTTTATTGTAAGTATGCAATCAGAGACATCTTCAGGAATCAGGCAAGCATGGGATGTTCTGTCTCCCATCTGTGTACATCTGATATTTTTTAGCAGAATAAACTTAATTCCTCATTCTACTTTTATTTACTATAGTGTACATTTACATCTTCTTACCATTTACATTAGAAGTGTATTGTTAGCCCTCGCTGGTTTGGCTCAGTGGATAAAGTGTTGACCTGTGGACTGAAGGGCCCTGGTTCTATACCAGTTAAGAGCACATACCTGGGTTGCAGGCTCGATCCCCAGTAGGGGATATGTAGGAGGTAGCCAATCAGTGATTCTTTCTCATCATTGATATTTCTCTTTCCCTTCCTCTCTGAAATCAATAAAAAAATATATATTTTAAAAATTATGTATCACTGTGCTGCCAGAAGAAAGGTCCATTTATTCTGTTAGTGAGAGAGTAAATTAATAAAACCTTTCTGGTAGGCAATTTAACAACTATATAGCAAAAGTCTGGGGGGAAAAAATGAATGTCTCTTGAACTAGCAATTCTACTAGGAACTTATCCTCAGGAAACAATTAAGCATGCTTAGACACTTAGCTATGGTGATGTTCATTGCAGCTGTTAGTAATGGCAAAAGTTGGAAGCAATCCAAATAATAAACAAAGAAGGATTAGTTAAATAAACTGGTACATCCATGCAATGTACTTCTACATAACCTTAAAAATAACATTGAAATATGTCTTTGTATAGAAAGATATTCACAATATGTTAGGTAAATAGGTTTAAAACAATATGTGAAAAATATTTTTATTTAAAGTAAATGTGTATGTACCCGTGGTAGTATATACACTAAGGTATTAATAGTAGTTGTTTCTAGGTGGGTAAATTGTGAGGTTTCATGTTTTTCTTTTAATTTGTTTTTACTTTATAATTCATTTTTTTTTATAATGAACATGCATTGTGTTTGGGGGGGAAATGAAACTAACAGGAAAAAATTAGTAGCTTCCTTATATCTTAGTAGTAACTATTTTAAAAACATATCATAGCCGTAGCCATTTAGAAAATATACTTTAAAATAGTTTTCGTACAATAAGAACACAAAACATAAGATGTCTAGTAATATAAACTTGGCAAGAAACATTTTCTATTTATTATTTTGACCTCCCAACAGCATTTTGCACTGTAGATCACTCCTTCCTAAGCATTCTGATTCCTTGATTTCTGTGAGAACAAGCTCTCCTGTTTTCCTACTTTTCTGGCGATTCCTTCTCAATTTTACAGGCAGTTAAGTTTGTGGACTACCTTAATTATACCCAATAATTCCCAGTAGTGCCCTGTATGGCCGTTCTGTCTTTCCCCTTAATACAGGATCCCATTAAGGATCACACATTATATTTAATTGTCATGCTTATTAAGTCACCTTTAATTTAGAGCAGTTACCAGCCTTTTTTTTTTCATCTTTCATGATGTTAACATTTTTGAAATATCTAGGCTGTTTTGAAGATTGTTGATCCATATGGATTAGTCTGAAGCCCATGATTATATCCATGTTCCCATGAATAGCATTTATAATATTTTCATGTTAATAGGAAACATTTTAGACAAGGAATCTAGAGGTGATGCTATATTCTTCTCAAAAATATCTCTTCAGGAGGCGTGATATTAGTTTTCCCCACTTGTGATATTAATTGGTATTCGACAGTAGAGAAAAGCTTTCCCTTTTTGCCCTTCCCCATATTAAAAAAAAAAAAAAATTTAACACTATGGACCCATGGATTTTTATTTTCAGTGGACGGACATTATTTTGGTTTTCAAACTGACCCAGATTTGACTAATTCAAGACCCTTCAGACTGTTTTCACTGTCCCCTGGCCATGGCGCCATCTTTCTTTGAGCACTTCTTTACTTCTTGACACAATCAAGGGTTCAAGACCTAGTTACCTCTCCTTTTGCCACTGTCCTGAAATCAGCTCTCTTTTCTAAGGAGCCCTCGTTTTTTTCAATGGGGAATGTACTTTAGTTATTGGAGGCAGAGGAAAGGAACGTCAAGGACAGTTTAGGTGCTAACAATATCACAATGCGATCAATGGGAAGAGCATGAACAGCATGAGCCTGGAGATGGCCATGTGGACAGGCAGCCTCCTGTTGCAAGTGCCCTGTGCAATTTGAACAAATAGGAATGTTATTATAATCAGTTTTGCTTCCTTATTTCACACCCACCCAGCTTTAATGATGTCATGGTTTTTCCATGTGGGAACAAGTATGACTGGTGGTGGCAGGGGAGTTCCCCCAACCATCATCTGTAGTACATATGCAAATTAGTAATATTTGTAGCTATTGAGAAGTTTTCCATAAATTACATTTTGAAACTTTTGTCAAATATTATTGTTAGTATCAAACATCTTTCTAATTAAAGAACACATTTCAGTGCTTTCTTATGATGACTCGTTATTGTAACTTCATATAATATGACATAAAGTATATTCCACTGTGACTACTAGCAGTGTAGTCAGGGCTCAGATAACAAGTGTCTGTGGAGTGGAGTGGTCCAGGTGTGAGAGGACGCGCAGCACCATGGCCAAGTGGAGAGCCCCCATCAGCTTCAGCAAGGTGTTTCTGTACCAGCCTGCTCTCGCCAGACCTTTGAAAGGAAACCAGAAGTCAGACATCTGTATGCAATTACCTGATTTTTAAATGTTGGTAGTCTATGAACATTTTTTTTTAATGTAGACAACACTTTTATGGGTTCAGCAAAATATACCTGTGGGCTTCAGCCTGTGGGCATCTCTTATAACTTTTGCTTTACATGATCAAATATACAGGTTTTATTGAATTGATAATGAATTTGGTTAGGAGGTGAATTTTAGCTTTTTAAAAAATAATTTTTTGTATTGATTTTAGAGGAAGGGAGAGGGAAAGAGAGATGGAAACATGAATGATGAGAGAGAATCATTGATTGGCTGCCTCCTGCATGTCCCCCTACTGGAAATCAAGCCCGCAACTCAGGCATATGCCCTTGATGGGAATTGAACCTGGGATCCTTTAGTCCACAGGCAGACACTTTATCCACTGAGCCAAACCCACTCAGGCTGAATTTTTAGCTTTTTGATATCACTTCCCTGTTTATCTTTACCTACTTGGATGTAAAGGTATAATTGTAAAATATTGTATGCAATAGCTATATGGGATGTATGATTTTTCTTTTAACAGTTTTCTTAGAGTATAACCCCACTGTTTTTAGCCTCACATCTTTATTATAGCAGTTGGAAATTTATAACATGATTTATTATCTCCATCTGACAATATGAAGACTTCACTGTTGGATGGATGCTTAATACTTAGGATATTCTTTAGTATTTATGTGTTTAAACTATAATGCATTTTGACAGTTCTGTGTTTTCTTTCTAGTTTTCAAAATTTGGGTATTCGATGTGTAAAGAAAAAAGAAGTAAAGGAAGCTATTATTTCAAGAATAAGGGCAGGAATCAATCCTTTCAATGGTAAGTATGTTTGATATAATAATTTCTGATATTTGAATATTGATTTATTCGTGTAAGTGATTTCTATTTGTATTTTAAACCTATGGTTAAAAGCTATCTTAAATTCTGTGTTCACTTTTCTACTTGTTGACTTCTATCTATGTCTGAATAATGTATATTCAATATCTTTCAGTGTTAAAAAATTATGCTTTCTTATATCAGTGAAGAATGCCATTTTTCTATAAGTAAACCTTGGAAATGTTTTTCTTTATTCTGGAATGTAAAGCTCTTTTTAATTCAAGTATCATTGACATGAAATATATATTAGTTTCAGGTGTACATCATAGGGATTTGTCATTTCTATACCTTACAAATGCAAGAAGTCTAGTAACCATCTGTCACTGTACAGTTATTGAGATATTATTGATTGTATTCACTGGGCTATATTTCTGTGACTCATTGATATTATAACTATGAGTTAGTAACCGCTTAATCCCCTTCACCTTTTTGCCTATCCCCGTGCCTCCCCACCCTCTGGCAACTATCAGTTCGTTCTCTGTATGAATCTGTTTTGTTTGTTCATTTGCTTAGTTTTTTTTCAGTCCACAGATTAGTGAAATGTAGTATTTGTCTTTCTCTGACTTATTTTACTTAGCGTAGTACCCTCTAGGTCCACCTATGTTGTCACACATAGTAAGATTTTATTCTTTATTACGGCTGAGTAATATTCCGTTGTATATGTATACTGCATCTTTATTATCTGTTCATCTATTGACACGTAGGCTGCTTCCATTATTGTACATAATACTAATTCAAAAAGATATATGCAGTCCTGCAGTGAACATAGAACTGCATATATCTTTTTGAATTAGTATTTTCAATTTTCTTTGGATAAATTCCAAGAAGTGGAATTGTTGGGTCCTTCTTTGTCTGTTGTTATATCTTTTGTTTTAAAGTCTATTTTGTCTGGTATAAGCATTGCTAACCTAGAGATAGATATATATATATATATATATATATATATATATATATATATATATATATTGTTTTTTTTGGTTTCCATTTTCATGAAATATCTTTTTCCATCCTTTTACTTTCAATCTGTCTGTCTTTTGATCTAAAGTGACTCGCTTGGGTCTTGTTTTTTATTCATTTAGATACCTTGTGTCTTTTGAATGGAACACTTAGTTCATTACATTTAAGTATATAGGTATTGCCATTTTAATTATTTTCATACTAGCTTTATAAGTGGTTATATCTTCACTATATGTTTGCCTTTACTAATGAATTCTTTTTTCTTTCAGTTTCTTATTTCTAGTTTTGGCCTTTTATTTTTTTCACTTAAAGAATTCCTTTTGCCCTAGCTGGTTTTGCTCAGAGCAGTGGCCTGCAGACTGAAGAGTCCTGGGTTCAATTCTGGTCAAGGGCACATGCCTGGTTGCGGGCTCAATCCCCGACTTGGTGCAGGAGGCAGCCAATTAATGATTCTCTCTCATCATTGATGTTTCTATCTCTTCCTGACTGAAATCAATAAACATATTTTTTTTTTAAAGAAAAAAAAAAGAATTCCTTTTAGCCTTATAGCCAGTTTGGCTCAGAGTGTTGGCTCTCAGACTGAAGGGTCTCAGGTTTGATTCTGTTCAAGGGCACGTACTTCAGGTGCAGGCTCAATCCCCAACTTGGTCAGGGTACATGTGGGATGCAGCCAACCCATATGTCTCTCCCCCTCCCTTCCACTTTCTCTAAAATTCAATGGAAAAAATATCCTTGGGTGAGAATTAATAATAATAACAAAAAATTTTTTTAAAAAGAATTCTCTTGGACATTTCTTATGCTGGTTTAGTAGTTTAGCTTATGCTTTTCGGGAACCTCTTCATCTCTTTCAATTCTGAATGATAATCTTGCTGGGTGTTCTGGTTGTAGGTTTTCCCCTTTTGTCAACTATATTCCCTTGAATATATCTTGTCAATTCCTTTGGCCTGCAAAGTTTCTATTAAAAAATAGCTCATAGTCTTATGGGCATTCTCTCATATGTATCTAGTTGTTTTTCTCTTTCTGCTTTTAAGGTTTTTTCTTTATCTTTAACTTTTAACATTTCAAATATGAGGTGTCTTGATGTGGGTCTCTTTGGGTTCATTTTGTGTGGGGGACTCTGCGCTCCCTGAGTTTGGATATTTGTTTCCTTTGCTGAGTTGGGTGATTTCCATTGTCCTTTATTCCTGATCACTGTTCAATTCTTCTGAATCATCTGATCTGCTGTTGATTTCCTCTTGTGTATTTTTGCATTTCAGTTGTTACATTCTTCAGTTCTGATAGGTTCTTTTTTTTTTTTTTTTTTTTTTTTTTTTTTTTTTTTTTTTACAGTTTTTATCTCAAGTTCTCATTGAGTCTAAAAAGTTTGAGGAGCCTCTTTATGACTATTACTTTGAACTCTTCTCTAGGACACAGCTTGCCTTCGTTTTGCTTAGTTATTTTTCTGGAGTTGTTCTTGTTTTATTATTTGGAACATATTCTTTTGTCTCTTCACTTCGCCTATTTGTTTCTATGTATTAGGTAGATCAGCTATATCTCCTGGTCTGGAAAAAGTGGCCTTGCTTAGAGGGTGTCCTATGGGGTCCAGTGGTAGAATTCTCCCTTTTCACCAGAGCCAGGTACTTCAGAGGTGTTCCCTGTAGGAAACAGTGTGGCCTCCTCTTGTGGCCACAACTGCTAAGGACACACTGATAGGCAAGGCTGGTTCCTGGCCAGGGTGGCTATGTAGCTTTGCCACAACTGTTACGGGCATACTGGTGTTCAGTACAGACCATCAGTGTAGCTGCCTGCAAGACCCAGTATCAACTGTTGAAGACACACTGCTGTGTCCTGGTGCCGACTAAGGCTGCCTGCCAGGGGTAGCAGGGAAGGAGTTGCTTTAGAAGGGTGCCAGTTTGGGTGGGTCATCAGGGAAATGCCAGAGTGGGATGAATAGTATTAGCATGCCCTGGCCAGCTTGGGTGGGTCATCAGGGAAATGCCAGAGTGGGATGAATAATATTAGCATGCCCTGGTCAGTTGATTGGGTGTTGTCCTGAGCACCAAAATGGCTGCTGTTTGATTACTAGTCAGGGCACATGCCCGGGATGCAGGTTCTATCCCCAGTGGAGTATGCAGGAGGCAGCCGATTGATATTTTGCTCTCACAGCAATGTTTCTCACCCTCTCCCTTTCTCTCTCTAAAAAATCAATAAAAATATTTTTTTGATAAACATTGTTAGCAAGGTAAATGAAGAACGTCAGAAACTGTTCTTGCGAGTGTCAGAACAGCTAGGTGGGAGAATAAAAAAAGGGACAATTGGTGCCCACTAGCACTTCTGTCTCAAGAGAAAATTCCAACAGATACCTGTCCCTCCAACACACATCCTAAAAGTGGTCAACGTTATCACTTTCACACACGACCCAGGTGCTTTTCAAATTGCCGCCTCTGCACTGGGACTCAGAAAGAGCACAAGCTTGGTTTCCTCTCAGCCCTTTGGTCCTCCCAGATGTAAGCCCTGTTAGTTTTCAAAGACAGATGTTACAAGGGCTCCTCTTCCTCTTGCAGGTTCCGCAGGCTGGGGCTCAGATCCCTCACTCTTTACGGGGGGACCTCTGCCGTTGTGATACCCCTCTCACTTGTGGGCCACTGCATGGGGGGGTGGTAATAGGGTGGACCCTAACTAGACTGATCTCTACCCCTCCATTTGGCTTTTTCTTTAGATCTGTAATTGTAGAAAATCTGTTCTGCTAGTCTTGGGTCATTCTAAGAGATAGCTGTTCTCTTAGAGTAGTAGTAGTAGTTGTAGTTTTGGTGTCAGTGAGGAGAAGTGAGCTCAGTTCTTCCTACTCCACCATTTTTAGCTCAGAGCAGAAGCCTTGCTCTTGAATGCCGTTGTAGGCTGTCTGTGAAATGTTATTTCTTACAGATAATACACTCTCCATGCAACAAACGTGTCTCTGGATCCTCTCAGAAACATTCGGATTTTTTTTTTTAATGTGGCATTTCTTTTGCCACTTTAGCAGACAGTATACACTCCTCTTTCTGAAGGTCGAATAGGCATTGTGTAAAGATAATGGAGTGCATTTAACTCAAAGGCATACTGAACAGCGAAACTTAAAGCCCAGTGTGGAAGAAGTGTAGGAATAGTAGAAACATCCATGGGAGAGAAACATTTATCAGCTATCTCCTGCACACCCCCTACTGGGGAACAAGCCCACAACCTGGGCATGTGCCCTGACTGGGAATTGATCTGGCAACCTCTTGGTATATGGGTTGATGTTCAACCACTGAATCACAATGGCTGGGTTCCATTGAGTTTTATAGAGTGTAGAAGGCAGTGGGAGAGACAGAGAGAGAGAAACATCTTGTAAGAGACACATTGATTAGCTGCCTCCCACATGCGCCCTGACCAAGTCAGGGATTGAGCCTGCAACTGAGGTACGTGTTCTTGACTAGAATTGAACCTGAGACCCATCAGTCCTCAAGCTGACACCCTAACCACTGAGCAACCCACTAGGGCTATATTATATATTTTAAATTTTATATTTTTCAACTACAGTTAACATACAATGTTATATTAGTTTTAGGTGTACAACCCAGTGATGAGACATTATAATACTCCTTTAGATTTTTCTGGTCTAAGAAATCAGCTGGCAGTCTTACGGGAGCTCCCTTTTACTAGAGACCTAACTGCTTTTCTCTTTTCACTTTTAAGATTCTCTCTTTGTCTTTAAAATTTTAATTATATTATGTCTTGGTGTGGGCCTCTTTGGGTTCATCTCGTTTGGAACTCCCTGAGCTTCCTAAGCTTGTATGTTTATTTCCTTCACCAGTTTAGGGAAGTTTGATGTCATTTTTTCAAATATATCTTCAATTTTTTTGCTCTCTCTCTCTTCTCTTTCTGGCACCCCCATGATGTACACGTTGGTACACTTGAAATTGCCAGAGGCTTCTTATGCTATCCTCATTTTTTTATTCTTTTTTCTTTTTGCTCTTCTGTTTGGTTATTTTCTGCTTCCTTATCCTCCAAATCTCTGATATCATCTTCTGCTTCATCTGCTCTACTGTTGATTCCCTACATTCGTTTCAGTTAATATATTTGTTATTTCTGACTAGTTCCATTTTTATGTTTTCTGTCTCTTTGTTGATGTTCTCTGTTGTTGTTAAAGTTCATCTGCTCTTTCTCTAAGTTCATTGAGCATCCTTATTACTAGTGTCTTAAACTCTACAAGTGGTAGATTGCTTCTCTCCATTTTGTTTAAGTTCTTCTGGAGTTCTGTTCTGTTCTTTCATTTGGGACATGTTTCTTTGTCTCTCATTTTGGCCAGCCTCCCTGTGTTTGTTTTTATGTATTAGATAGAGCTGCTCTATCTCCTGAGTTTAGTAGTATGGTCTTATGTAGTAGATGTCCTGTAGGGTCCAATGGCACATCCTCTCTGTTCACCCAAGCTGGACACTCCAGGTGCACCCCCTTTTGGGCTGTGTATACTCTCCTGTTGTAGTTGAGCCTTGATTGCTGTTGGCACATCAATGGGAGGGATTTACCCTCAGGCTGAACAGCTAAAAGGACTGGCTTTAGCCACATGAAAGATCAGTTTTGCAGAGGCCCACTCAACAGAGCAGGACTTACTTCAATGGAGCTCTGGTGCCCACTTAGTCTGCTCCTTGAGTGTGTGCCTATGGAGGTGGTTGGGTGGTGCTTTATATGGTCCAAAATTGTCCTATGGTATGCTGTCTCTGGGACCTTCCATGAGTTGCAGGCCAAGGTCAGCCTCCAGCATGAGCTACAAAGCTATCTGCAGATAGCTGCTACTTGTGCTGGGCTTGGAGGCGCCCAGAAGATGCCAAGATGCAAACCAAGGTCAACTGCCAGTAGTGCTGGGCCTGGAGCCATTTAGTGAGAGGTATAGGCACACTGAGGTCATATGCTGCTTGTTTAAGAGATTCTAGGAAAGTTGGAAGCATGAGCCAAGACAGGCCATTCATATTGAAAAATTACTGCAGCCCAGCTGGTATGGCTCATTGGTTGAGCATCAACCTATGAATCAGGAGGACACAGTTTGATTCCCAGTCAGGGTACATGTCCGGGTTGCATGCAGGCTTGATCCTCAGTAGGGGGCATAAAAGATCCAATCAATGATCCTCTGAAGCTGAGATATCCCTCCTGACTTTTATTCACTACTTGTGAGTGTGAGACTAGCCTGTTCTGCATCTGCCCCTCCAATCTCGGTGTGATTTCTTTAATTGTAGGACTTCTATTCAGCTAGATTTCAGGCGGTTCTAAATGGTGGTGGTTCTGTAGTTTAGTTGTAATTTTGATGTGGTATATGAGGATGAAAGTACTGTGTTTACCTACATCGCCATCGTGATCAGAGCACTTATTTTAAAAATCACTTTATTTTGTCTCCTCCTAAGTCTGGTTATTTAATATAGAGTATCAGTCATTGTATGTGAAAAATTGTAGAGATTTCAGTTCTAGGATGTTGTTATCTCCTTTCAGATAGTGACTTGTGGTAGTGACTGATTTAGGATATTTGAAGCTGGGCTTTCATCCTGTGAGTCTCTAGTGTCTTTCCAGTTAGCCCTTACTTCTAGGGTATAGTTGAGGTCCTCCAGGGATCCCAACCAAAGCATTGAACATTTATCAGATTCTCTATCCTTGGCAGAACCCTGAACTTCTTATCTTTCCCTTACAGTTTCTTGGGAGTTCATCTCAACCTCTCATCCTCTTAGCCACCTCTTACAAAACTGGCAGATTATATCTGCAAAAAAAGAACCCTCTTGTTCTGAACTTACCTCTCTGGGTTCCTGTAATAATTGTGATTTTATGGTATGTATCCCTATTCTTGGCACATAGCTCCTAAAATCCTTGGAATTTGCTAAATGATAAGAGCTAAAAAGGTAAGAAGAATGTCTGTTGTTGCCAAAACAAACCTCTTTAAACACATCTGAGTTTATGTTAATGAGGTGACTTGAAAAACACCTAATGGTGGTGGGTTCTTCTTGTCAGAGAAACCAATCAGTTGGGCTCTTAGAGTTGGATCATTCAACCTCATCCCTTTGCCTCTGGAAAGGGGAGGGGCTGGAGGTTGAATTAATCATCACTGTCCAATGACTTGGTCAGTCATTGTTCAAAATGAAGCCCCCCCTAAAAATCCTGACTAAAGGGGCTGGGAGAACTGGGTTGGTGAACATGCAGAGGTGCTGGGAGGGTGGCATTCCCAAAGGGTCATGGATGCCCAGTATAACTTCTATGGATCTTTTCTTATGCATCTTTTCTATCTGGCTGTTCCTGAGTTGTTTCCTTTTAGAATAAACTGAGTTCTGTGCAAATAATCAAACCTGAGGAGTGGGTCATGAAACTCCCAAATTTGTAGCCAGTCAGGCAAAAGCATAAGTGACAACGTGGACTTGTGATTGGTTTCTTAAGTGTGTGGGGTTGAGCAAGGTCTTGTGGGATTGAGCCCTTGCTTGTGGGATCTTTGTGAATCCCAGGTGGTTAGTGTCAAAATTGAGTTAAATTGCAGGACACCCAATTGGTGTTCTGAGGGTTAGAGAATTGCTGTGTGTGAAGAAACACACAAACATCAGAAGTGTTGGTTAAGTAGTGAGTCAAGAGAAACAGGAATGTTTTTCTTAACAGTTCTCTATCCTGACCTAGCCCCATGATTCTTCATGATCTTGTTAGCTCTTTGATGCCTTTAGAGGACTTTTGTTTCATAGTTTGTCCACCTTTTTTAGTTCTCATGGTACAGCTGATTCCAATTACATATATCACCCGCCATTACTAAAAGCAGAACCTCCCTCTGTTGATATTTGCTTTATAGTTTTCTTCAGCAAATGTTTGATTGTTTAATAGGCCTTTCCTTAATTTTTCAGTCACTCACTGACTTAAAAGTTCTTTATTTTCTTAAAAGCTTAAGAAAATGTTCCATATGTATTAAACTTAAGCCACTGTGTTCCATGTTTAGTGAAGATGCATCAACACCCATTTTGCTTTCATGGAACTTAGCCTAATTGGGTAAAAAGAGGCATATGTAGAGGATAATTATGCAAAACATGTTAAAAAAATAACTTTAAATGTCTTAGAGAGGTATAAAGGTCAAGGTTATACTGACTTAGAGAAGGAAGATATATTCCTTCCATTTCAAAGCATGGAGTTTTATGTACCACTTTAAGAGATTTTAAATGAACTTTTTATTGAGTCTAATTTATATACAGTTATATCTACCCAAATATATACTCCCATGGAACACCACCACAATCAAGATGAGGAACTTTTCCACCACCACCCCAAAATGTCCCCAGTCTGCTTCCCGTCAATCTTCTCTCCCTCCTCTGGCACCAGTCAACTATTCATTTGCTTTCTGTCACCACCAATCAGTGTTTTCTGTAACTTCATATAAACGAAAGCATAAATATATTTTGCTCAAAATGTTGTTGAGATACATTCATGTCAGGGTCTATACCCAGAGCCTGTTCTTTAATGTATGCTGTCACCGTTTGTTTATATTACTTCCATAGGTTTGTTTTTCAACTTGTCAGGTGCACTTAGCTAATAATTTATATTTTTGTATATTGATTACTCATCTTTGAAATTGATAAACATTAATGTCTTGGATTCTAAATGTATAAAGCTATAAAAAAATCTATTTCAGAGAGGTAGACCTCTCATTGCCTACAATAATTGTGCCAGTAGAGTATGCTGCTGGGACACAAGTGTTTGGATCACACATCACATTTTGACCTTTTAGTTGTATAAATATGTTCTAATAGACTCCTTCAAGTGCTTGACTTAATAATGGTGATAATGGGATCATTTTTAAACTTGTGATAGCTACTGAGAATATGAATGTAGTTTAAATAAAAATAGGAAAATTATCTTGTAGTTTTTGTTATTGTCTGTAAGACTATTTGGATTTTAGCTGTTTTCAAATTTAGTGTTTCAAATTTTAATACCCTTTTAAAAATAAAAATTTTCATAAGATTTAATATGTATTTCATGCTTTTAAAAATAAGACTATGTTGTTATGATTTATTGCCACAGCTTATGGTATTCTTTGAAAAGGCAGAGTAATATTTTCCTTTGGAACTGGATTTTTTTTCCAATATCAATTAACAAACATATTCTTTCATAAGGAATGTGTTTTTATATTTTCTAGAATTATATAATGTTCCAGCTATAGGGTTTGTCTTTTTAAAATAAAATAAATTTGTACATAAAATTTCTTATACAAAGAAAGCTGCCTTATCTCATCCAGTGTTCTCTTGGTATTTAATTCCTAAAGTTCTAAATTTTAACAGATACTCCTTTTGTCACTTGATACAAAATATATGTAAAATTTCCTAATAGAGTTCAGTTTTTAAGAGCCTAGGCTCTGGATCCAATTACCTGAGTTTGAATTTCTATTCTGCCACTGAGCTGTGAAACTTGGGACAACTAATTTCATTTCTTTAAAATTAGCTTCTCATTGTAAAATGGGGGTGTTAGTCATTCTTGTACAGGTTTAGGAGATAATGTACAGAGTTTTTAACACAATGACTGGACATGTGTGTTGAATTAATGAATGAATGCCTAGTCTCTGTTGTATATAACCAACTATAGTTGTAAAAATTTTATATTAATGTCAATTTGGGATTCCAGGTGACTGGGATAGTTACTTCCTGACCATGGTTATAACTTCATGAATACTGTTAGAGACTACATAATATACCAATGATAAAAGGCATTCTTGAGATTGTGTATGATTCTATTTTAGTTAGTGCAGATTTGGACACTACTCAAGTTTATTGGACATATTGAGCAGGGAGGAGGAACGAGCAGGGATTTTAGTTCTAAGTGAATATTCTACATTCTTCAAAAAACAAAAATGTACCATTCAGTCCCTGAACCACAGCTGCTTGATACTGAAGATTGCGACCTCAATGTGGTGAGACTGTGTTTTCAAGTTTTCCTCTATGATGAACATGGTAATTTGACGACTACTCTACCTCCTGTTGTCTCTAACCCAATTTATGACAACCGTAAGTACTTCATATTCTTGCGTTTGTAGCCTTATTAGCTTGTTGTGTGTGTGTGTGTGTGTGTGTGTGTGTGTGTGTGTGTGTGTTTAATATAGTATAATTTTTAAAGTAATTTGGTACTTAGAAAAACAATATGTCTATAATATAGGAAAAATTCAAACATTCCTGAGATAGATAGATAGATAGATAGATAGATAAATAAATAAATTCCCCTTCTTAGCAATATATTCGAGTAGTTTTCCCTTCCAGGCACCCTATTCTTTTCAGTAGCTGCATATTGCTGTATATGGCTATATCATAATTTTATTACATCATTATCCTATTACAAGACATTTGGTATGTTTCCTCCTCATTTTTTTCCCTTTTCTTCTAACACTTTGTACTGCAGCAAGTATTCTGCTTGTGCTTATCTTGTGCAAGTCTTCAGCATACATTTGCAGAGTAGAATGTTGGCAAATGCTAGGTCAAAGGATACTGACATTTATAGTTATAAAAGATTATGAAATTGCCTTCATATTGTGTGAGTGTGTGTGTGTGTGTGTGTGTTTGTGTGTGTACTCTAATAAATGATCATCAGTGGTATATGACCATACCTGTCTTGCTTGTAGAAAGATAGTGGGATAAAGGGCTGTAAAGGTAGATCAGATTGTTATCACAGAGAGCTTTGAATACCAGGGAGAGTTACTGGAATATTGGTCCAGATAACAGGAAGCATGAAAAGTGCCTTTGGTCATGATTTACTAAGATTAGTTTATTGACAGTGTGTAGAAGGATGGAAAGAATCAGAATTCAGAAGCAGGAAGATTTAGTTAGAGGACATGTCATTGCCTAGAAAGTTACTCTAAACCAGTCCAGACAATGTAGTCAGAAGGGAAAAGGTCAGATGTGGATGATTAATGTATTTAGTGTTCTTAACTTACTTACACATTTAAGTTGGGTTTGTTTTTTTTTAATCTGTTCTGTAGATTGTTTTCCTAAAATTCTCTCCATCAAAAAGAAATAAAATATTAAGGTAGTGACCCATTAAAAATCTCTTCATATTTAGGTGCTCCTAATACTGCAGAATTAAGGATTTGCCGTGTAAACAAGAATTGTGGAAGTGTCAAAGGAGGAGATGAAATATTTCTACTCTGTGACAAAGTTCAGAAAGGTATTTATTTGTCTTTTGTGTGTTTGTTTCATGGACTTCAGAATATATTTTAAGTTAATAGATAACTTTACTTTGTTTCCCCACTGATAGTTCTTTGCTTTCCTGTTCACTAGATGACATAGAGGTTCGGTTTGCACTGAATGATTGGGAAGCCAAAGGCATCTTTTCGCAAGCTGATGTACACCGTCAGGTGGCCATTGTTTTCAAGACTCCGCCGTATTGCAAAGTGATCACGGAGCCAGTGACCGTGAAGATGCAATTGCGGAGACCTTCTGACCAGGAAGTTAGTGAGCCGATGGATTTCAGATATCTGCCAGATGAAAAAGGTGTGACTTCTTAGTGGTCATGTTTTACATATTTCTTAACATGAGCCCTGCTAATAATATTTTTTGGTAAGATACCTTGAAATACAGGTTGTTGTTGTTGTTTTTCTCCATAATTTACATTGCTTTGCCTGAGAGTTTTCCATTGTCTTTTTTTTTTCCCAATTGATTGATCTGTATGCCCTTTACACCTCTTTCTTAGGAAAGGAATCTTGAATAATTTCAAAGTATCTAAACTGTTTGTCAAAATTTGTTTTATAGTTGAAGGGGTTTTTATAGATAGCAAACTTGCCAACCAGAGAGTAGTCTTCATTTTGGTCCTTTTCTGCCTTTATTGCATTAGTTGACGTAGTTGACTTAAGAGATGTTAGAAGAAAACAAGATAAATATCAAACTGTTTTTTACTAAGAGAAAAATACCCTTTATCACTGGCTTAGGACACACTCTGCAACATCTATTAAGTCCATAATATGTACATTTATTAAAGCATTTTTTATATAGGGATAAGACTATTAATTAAAGGAAAAGAAGCATGATGATTCATTCACATGCTTTCTGGTTTCTTTCTAACCAGATACTTATGGCAATAAAGCAAAGAAACAAAAAACAACTCTACTTTTCCAGAAACTGTGGAATGATTGTGGTAAGAATGTTTTTGGATTGATTCATATTTAAATAGATTTTTTTTTGGCGGGGGGGAAGGGGATTGATTTATTCAGATTTGCACATTTTAACTGATAATGTTATTTTTTAAACTTACATTTAATAATGTTAAAACTTTATTACAGCAGTTCATTTTCCTGAAAGACCTAGACCTGGTCCCCTAGGATCAACTGGAGAAGGAAGATTCATTAAAAAAGGTATTTTGTTCCCTATAGAATATCCCTTGTCATTGGAAAGACCATGGCTTTGCATAATCTGTTGGAATTCCATTCTTAGACATGAAACTGCTTTTTTGATATTTTCCACTCCTACTAACTTTTTCATGCTTTGAATATTGAATGGATTGGTCTTGGCCTCCAAAGGTCCTATTGGAAACGGGTTTTAGGGAGTTACTGTTTGAGAAATTACATTTCGTTCATATGGTGATACTTCACTAATTTCGGTATGTCATGCAAGAAACAGTTTAGATCCAGCCAGTAGCCTGTCTTTATAAGCAGAGTTTTGCTGGAACATAGCCATGCTCATTTGATTACAAATTGTCTATGGCTCTTTTTTCACCACAGTCGCAGGGTTGGTAGTTCCAACAGAGGCTGCAAAGCCTAAAATATTTACTATCTGGCCCTTTATACAAAAAAAAAGTTGTCAATTTCTGGTTTCGATCATTCAACCAGAGTTAGTTAGAAGTCTTTTGCCCCTTATATTCTTAAACCAGTGCTTACTATGTAAAGTAGTCATAATGTGTAAATAAACACAGAATCCTTCATTTTTTTTCTGACTAGAAATTTGTAGTACCTTAGTGTGTTGTATCTTAATACATCTTAGACAATTATGTGGACTTTCAATCATTCCCACTGAGTGATTTTTGGCTATTTAGAGTTCCATTAACAGAAATTCTAATATTCATCTCTCACTTTCCAAAAATATTTTTATAAGATCTCAGAAGCTAGATTTCCAGATTTGACTGGAATGAAATCTGTGCCAAAATAAATTAGCGATATTATTTATAGGTATTTGTAAGACAGTGTCGCAGAACTTAGTTTAAGGCTTCTGTCATCATTTTAGTGCCATTTAAATTTTTAACTTGAAATGCTACATCAGCGTTCTTGAGAATTTCCTTTAGTAGTGTGTTGGTGCAATTTTTGGAAATAGAACTTTCTATAATTTTTTCATTTCAGTGTTGTAATAACATATTTGCCCTTCCACAGAATCAAACTCGTTTCCTCATGGTGCAGTTTTGACAGAAATGTCCCAGCCAGCAGGGGTTTCGAGTCAAGCAGAACCTTATTACTCCCCGTCTGTGTCCATCTCGAGTGCAATGTCACATCATGCCTCAGCCATGCCCCCACTGGTACTTCAGCCTTCTTCAAGCTGCTGGTCCTCAGAGGCCCACCCTGCCTCATGCTCAGTCAACACAAATCCACTGAGTAGTTTTTCAACGGGGACAATTTCCTCGAATTCACAGGTTATCCCAACGTTCACAGAAATGCCTGTGGAATTGCATGCTTCTAATGCTTGCCTTTATAACAGTACCAATGACATAGGCAGAATGGAAATGCCACCCGCTGCCTTCTGTGGCATTTCTGATGCCAGCATGCTGCAGAATTGCTCTGTAAATATGATCACGCCCAACAATGACAGCATGAGGGAGACTGACAGTTCGAGACTTATGAGAATGAATGTTGGAAGTCCCTCGTGCAACTCGGTGTTAGATCAACAGGAACTGAGACAGCTCCATCAGATGTCCTCTTCCAGCATGTCGGCAGGCGCCAATTCCGGTACCACTGCTTTCGCTTCACAGTCAGAGGCATTTGAGGGATCTGGCTTCAGTTGTGCAGATAACAGCATGCTGAATGAGCCAGGGCCTTCGAGTGGTACTAATCCAAATGGTCATGGTTTTGTTCAAAGTCAGTATTCAGGTATTGGCACTCTGCAGAATGAACAGTTGAGCGACCAATATGCATTTGAATTTTACCGGGTTGACTTGTAAGACTGAAATGATGGTTCAAACTTTAAATCCTCTTAAATGTTTGCAGTCGTGTTGATATTACCTACATAGAAGTCCTATTTTCTATTTCTCCCACCATATGTAAGGGATTTCTCTGAATGGCTCTCTTGGCTGTGGAGCTCCTCGGAGAAGTGGAAGAGAGGGATGAACTCATCTCTCAACTTCAGGAAGAGCTGCAAAAAGCCCCAAGACTGCTTCAAAAGTAAATAAATCCACACCATCTGAACTCGAGGCTGTGATGCCCCATGGAGTCTTGCACATGGTGTATTTAAACTAGCACAGATTTCAGTCTATGTAGGTTCATTATTTGACCATTAGAAGTGTATAATGAATCCATATATATATATATATATATATATATATATATAAAAAGCCAGCGACTGGAACACTGTAATGACCAGAACAATCAGTCACTATGATGCCCACTGTGGCCAGTGAACCGGCCAACATCCTGCAGCCCCTTCCCCCAGCCAGCCCCCCCTGATTAACCCCCCCCCCCAGAGGAGACAGAGCTGGCCAGCCAACCTCCCACCGCCCCTTTTCCAGTCGCTGACCCCCAATCGCACCCCACTCAGGGGCAGGACCGGCCAGCCCACTGCCCACAACCCCTCCCCCCAGCCGGCCCAGCCCTGATCAGCCCCTATTGGGGCTGGCTGGCCGGCCAACCTCCCCCCTATCTCCTCCTGACAGGCCTGGCCCCAATCTGGCTACCCCTCCTCCCCCCGCCTCCTACACGAATTCATGAACAGACTAGTATTAAATAAAATCATTTTTTCAATTTAAAAAAGCACATACTACACCTTTGGGTATGTAGAATACACAGTTGGAAATTGCCAGAAAAGGAACATTCCAAAGTAGACATTTAAACGGGCTTTAGAGTCTCCCCTTTTGGAGCCCGTGGCCTGATAGTGTGTGTGGTGGGAGTGCTGGCTTTAGAGTCCCACCGCATTTCCAGAGAACTGAGCGAAGAGAACAGGATGGCACAGCTCCAGTTTTTCTAAATATACTCTTTAATATTTCTTTTGTATTGTATTAATGTATTCTTAGTTAAATGAGTTAACTGATATTTGCTGATATTAAGCAAATTTAAGGTAAAACCTGTAATGGCTATGTCATTGGAAAAATAAATTTCTTATTATTTTTGAGACCCGTAGGCCAAGGTGACCCCTAAGGGGTTTTTCTGAGGCTTTTTGGAGTTTCTTAGATTTATATGTAAATCAGAATTCCTTTAAAATGCTAAGTTGGACAGAAGGGCGCTTTTTAGGTATGGGAGGTTCTCTGCTTTTTGGGTTGTTTAAATCCATATCTTTACAATAGCTTGTGATTTTAGGTTTACACCTATGTTCTTAACGGGAAGAAATTTCTTTGGACCTCTTCTCTTATGTGTCCTCAATCCCGAATTCATCCAGTGTCATTCAGTCGACTCTGAAATTTTACCCCTAGCTTAGATCTGTCCTCTGAACAGCAGATTTGGCATTTACCCATGTGTGTAAAACTGCTTATTTAACATTTATATCTAGAATTCTAATTAAAGATCAAACCCAACACATTCTTGATCTTCCCTCCCAAACGTGCTTCTCTTTTAAGTCTTGCCCCGTCTCAGTAAATGGCAATGCCATGCCTCTAGTTGCTCAGGTCCAGGTCTATGGACTCATCCTTGATTCTTTTTTCCTTTTATCTCCCATATCCAAATCTGTCAGCAAACCTGGTAGGTCCTACCTTCAGAATACATCCAAAGCTGGCCACCTCTTGTGACCTCTACCATTAACATCCTGTTCCAAGCAACCGTCATCTTTGGCCTAGATTGAAGGCTATTTCCTCCCGAAACCCTCTTATTTCCTTGGGTCCCTACAATCTGTTCTCCGTAAAGTAGCCAGGATGATTATTTTTAAGCCACGTCAAGTCACATCATTTAACTGCCCAAAACCAGCTCATGGCTCCCCATCTCAGAGAGGATGCCAAGGTCCTTGAGATGAGCAGGTCCTCGCTCCCTCTCCTACCTCACCTACCACTGTCCCCCCTGCCCCTCAGCTGCAGGTGCTCTGGCCTCAGTGCTGCTCTTCGTACTGCCTGGTGGTCTTTGTACTAGTTGTCCTTTCTGCCTGGGATGGTTTTCTCTCAGATGCACGCAGGACACCCTCCTCACACCCTCACTCCACCTTACCCGCTCAAAGCCTTCCTCGACACTATCACTAGTTACCAGCACTCCACGTCCCTTCCTTTATCTTTTCCCATAACCTTATCCAAGCATTCATTTGTTTACTGTTTGTCTTCTTGTACTGGAATATAAGCTCCTTGAGGGCAGAAGTGATTTGTTTCGTTTGTAAAATATAGCTTGTAGAACAGTTGTGTCTGCCTCGGGTGAAGCAACCAGTAAACCCTCAAAGTCCTACAGATACAACTCTGTTTTCTGAAACAAAGTATAGCTTTAGTTATTAAATGCTCATGGTTTTCATAGTGCTGCTTAATGAGACATCGGATTTATATCAGAATCATGTACATTTAAAACAAAGATTGATTAATGGTCATCCAAGTAGTTGGAAAGCGAAGTATAATTGTTAATGGGATTGTCATGATGCGAAGTAACTGACTTATTAAAGACCAGGTTTATTTTATAACTAGAGCCTACCGTAAATGTTAAGCATATTCCTAGCTAGAAACATGTCGTTTTGTTAGAGAATAGTAAGAAGCTAGGAAAATTCCAGGACAAGCAGAATTTGGTAACTAAGACAGAGTTAAACAGCACTTTGCAACCACCTAGTACCCTATCTTCCCTCATCCAAGGGTAATTAACAGTGAATGGTTCGCACATCTCTTCCCCTACTGGAAGGGAAATAGCTTAAATCACCCTACTCAGGGATTCAGAACAGAAAGCCAGTTAGTGCCATTTGCCCACCACACCCAAGGACAGACAACTTAACAGAATGAATCTTCCCCCTCAAGAAGACAAGAACTGAGGTCTCCTCGTCTCACTGGTAACAGTTTCACTAACGTAGCATCCAACCAAACCATACATTTACTGGAACAATTAAAACTAGTCAATTTGGTCAAAATAGAGAACGTGAGAATGTCCTAAATAAAAATTCTGAGTTGAATGATACTGGGAAATGAGAACGGTAAAATAAGACTTGGGGTCAAGATATTTAGGAAGCAAAAGCAGAAGATTAATGATTAAAAAGATTAAAGCTAGGTACCACTAATGTTTCTCAAAAATTATGATTTCAAAATGAAGCATTTCTGTTGTTATGATTTTAAAAATCACAAGCACATAACATATTTTTGTAGGACATACCAAGAGAAATAAAAACCTGAAGGCCTAATTTCTTACCTGTTCAAAATATGACCCCAAGGTATTTCCAGGCAGTGGTTGATAGGTGGTACACTTTTTTAAAAATATGGAGCCCTCTAGTTGTATATTAATTAGCATTGATCGGCTTAAACAACTGTTTGAAAACCTAAATGGATTTTTTAAATTAAATAAGCAATTGACTTGCAGTTTTTTTCTGTGTAAACCAAAGTAAGATACTGCTACTTCTGTGTTAAGATGGATTTTTTTTTTAATTTTCCACAAGCCATTTACTGATCATAAGATTTATTTTATGATTTAAAAAGAATTTTGTCTCTCAATGTGTTTACAGTTTCACCTGGTCTTGGAACTCACCACTCTTAGCTTCTGAGGAAAGGTAAACCTTAGGCCTTTCTAACCTCAACTGGTACACTGGGCCACCCCCCTCTTTCTCTCCAGTCCCCCTCCTGTTTCTTTATCCTCACATCGGCATTTAGTGCCCCTTTTTCTGTCTAATAAACTTAATGGAAGTCTTCTTTAGCATAAAAGGAAAGGAAAAACCTTTTCTGCTACCCTCATACTCCTTCCCATCACATCCAGACTCAGAACATGCTTTCTGTCTCCATGTCCTCACTTCCCGGTCATTTCTTACCCTCTCCTCTCTCACTTTTCCTCTTACTATTTTCTTTTCTTTTCTTTTTTTCTTTTTTATCCATTTGCCTTTATTACAATATTTAAAAGGTCATAATCCAAGTCTCTACTTCCTACAATGACATTTTTATAATAAAAATTCAGGCATACAAACAAGAAATGGAATCATTGTACATTTTGGGGGAACAAAAGGCAGATTAGCAGACTACAACTTGTTTGATAACAAACTCTTACTATTTTCTTATGCTATTCTGTGGAACGTGACCTGGGACACCCTCCTTAAACCTAGTTCCTTGTATCAATCTAGTTACCTTTGTATGTTTAGACTGTAACTTTCCATCCCCTGGAGCACTGCCTTCTTGGGTACTCCTCCAAAGTTTCTGTGGTAGAGAAAATTCTTCTCTGAGGTTGATTTTTTAATTTTTTTTAAATTTCTTTATTGATTAAGGTATCACATAATTGTCCTCATCCTCTCCATTCCCATCCCAAACCCCTCCCCACGCATGCCCCCACACCCGTATTGTCTGTGACCACTGGTTAGGCTTATATGCATGCGCACAAGTCCTTTGGTTGATCTCTCCCCCTTATCCCCACCCTCCCCTACCTTCCCTCTGAGGTTTGACAGTCTGATTGATGCTTCCCTGTCTCTGGGTCTGTTTTTGTTCATCAGTTTGTTGTTCATTATTTCCTCTAGATGGTTGGTCCCCCCCCAGGGCCCTCAGTTGGTGCTATTTTCCCCCCAGGGTGACCTTATCAGTGCCTACAACTTCAGCTTTCTCTCAGGCTATCTGAATGCCTTTGGAACTGGTTCTTCCTTTTGTGTACTCTTAATGGCATTACCATTTACCCTGCCATCTGAAATAGTTAAAACATCACATACGTCCTTAGTGTCAAGTCCTTTTTGAATCTTCCTCCCCCAAATCTCTTGCATTTGTCCCTCCATTGGTGCTGAGTTCTTAGTGTAGGCCTTTTTCCCCCTCCCTCCCCCCACCCCAACAAGAATGCCTTTTCCATATGCTCCAGTTAAAAATAACACCCCAGTCCT